CCATGTCTATCGAGACACCACTTATTGATAGATTCGAGTCTCTCGTTCAGAGACGCTAAACAGTTTTTTTGACAGTCTCTCTCAGCGACACCAGAGAGACTCGATGAGAGACGGAGACTAGTCTCGCTTTCAGAGACTCTGAGAGACTGAACATTTTTATTTCGAGTCCTTCAACATCTTGAAAATACTTTCATCACACACCAGCCAATCATATTATACGTCAAGTACATATGATGAGAAATATATCATCAATTGATACGGGCAAGGATATGTCAGGTGTTTGCGTTAATTTTGTTTGCACTAGATAAGAGTGAAAATAGTGAAACATTAGCTTTTTATTTACTTTCGTAGAGTATATTAAGTACTATTTTAATCCTTGATCCTTCTTGCGGCATCTGAGCTTAACATAAATGCCAGATTATAATTTAACACAATAATTATTTGAAACAACACTGAGTCAAAATAAATGATAAATTCAGGTAGTTTTGTCAGTAATTGCTGTTGACATCTTCGGCGGAGTGGATACTGACTGAAGATGTACATCCTAATCTTCGCAGTATCCAATGAAGATGTCAGTCAACAGCTGGATTCTATTATGGATTCCGGCTGTGAAAGCCTATGTTCTAATAAAACACTAAAACCACTAAATAGCAACTTACTATTAAAAGACTTGGTCAATTTCCTTAAGTAAGCCACGATGCGTGAGTAGGTTGAATTGTGATTCAATTTATCCTTAATGTCCTTAGTCTTTTCCTTCACTGCGTCAGACGATAAATTCACTTTTTTGTTATCACACCTTCCCGACACTAATTTGTTATGTTTTTTATCCGATTTAGTCACATTTTCGCACTTCTGCGAATACCGTCTACTACCTTTGTAATCCTCGGAATCCTCGTCAACTTTTTGAGATACATTACAATCATATTTACATTCTGAAACTTTAGGACCGTCGTTGTCAACGTCTTTATTATCACAAGGCTGTTCTTTCGCAGTAATCGAGTCCGTTTCTTTTGTATCCGTAATAATAAGGTCCTCTGTCAACGACATTTTAGAAATAGTTGGACTACCAGCCGACCGCGGAGACATTGAAATTTTTGTCTAATAGACTTATAACAGCTGCTGTGTACAAAACAACTGATCCAACACTTCGACAAATATAGCATGGCATAAAACAATATCATTTTAGAAAAAACATAATCGCATTAAGATTTTTAATCGAAAAGCTAACCAGTTAATTAATAAAATTGACATCAACATGTTGTCTCATATATAACCAACAACAAACAAAATTTTAAGATACGTTTTTTAAATAATACATAGAATGGCAAAAATTCACAAATAATTAAAAAAGTTGGGGCACTTTCCGATTGGCTAGACTAGGATTTTTGGCGATTCACACTGAAAATTAAAAATCGCGTTCCCAAAAGAAAAACCTTAAGATCGGTTTAAGATTTTGCTAATGTACTCAGTGGATAATAAATGACAGGATTTTTATCGATACCCTCACCAAGGATGTGAGATATCAATTAAAAACTTACGCTGATTGTGAGAGAAACCCCTACTTTGATAAATTACACCTTGGTCCATTGATTGCTTAGGATCATGACAGGGAATGTGATAAAAATTTGAAACTAACAGGAACTCCACTCAAAATAGCTAGAATTTTGAGGGGGTGCACATAGGGTCCTAAGTCGATAGCCACACTACTTCTTGTGGGCCCAGCGACATTCCCCCTGGGACAAGGAAGGGGCATATAACGCCTTGCCGCATTTGCCCATCATCAGGAAAGCCGCATGTAGCCCCCGCAGGGAACAATTATTACTACCCCATTAAAAATTTTTGTAAAAATGAACTTTATTATTAATGAAAAAAATTCAATATACACATACATCAGTTATTTGTAAAATTTGTTTGCTTTTAAGTAAGATTGTGTTATTGGGCTCTTTTGTAGTCAATAAGTCACTTGATGCGTCTGGTTTCAGTTCTTATAAAAGCATTAGGAAATACAGTTGTTGGTTGGTTGCAAATGTAAAAGATTTCATTGAAACGACGACATAATTGAGCAAGGGAATTATTATTTATACGTTTTTTCATTTTACCGAAAGTATTTTCAATCGGATTTGCCTCATCGAGCCCCCATAAGGTAGATTTAATTAAAGTTTATATATGTGATAGGTTTGCCCCTTAAGACCCATATGAAAAACCCATAAGGAAATCCTCATTTTAGTATCACCATTTTTTTGGTGGAATTTTCATGAGGAATCTACGGGAAAATCCTTATATCGGTATGCCCCTTATTAGCCACATGAGGTCCACACGCTACATGGGGCATGCCCTTTATAAATCCTAGTCGAGATGATGATAATCCAACTGCTTTTTGAACTAATAAGATACAGGCCCATATAAACAAATTAAAAATACACATGACGACGATTTTTTTTGTTGTTAGTTATATTTTTCCATACTGTATTTTCCGAAGATGTATTACATTACGGTAGCACTAAAATCATTTTTTTATTTAGCTCTGGTGCACCTTAATAACTATACGATTTTGTCTCCACAAGGGATGCTTTAAACGTTTGTATAGTGACATCCGAAATACGATTGATGAGTGTACCTAAATCAAGTGCAGATGTCTTATCTGCTCTCTCTTATCTGTATTTACATATTTTTAATGTTCAGGTAGTATTTTTTCTTTCGTAAGTATCACACTTATTTATAGAAAATGTTTAACTTTAATATCGATTACGTATTATCAAATTAAACTTAATTTATAAATAAGTGTAATATGTATACCTGCACAATAGGAAATACTAGGTATTATAGCAGGTAGTTGACGTTGATTTTCTTGACTGATTCAAAACAAAATCTGATAGTATTCTATTCAAATTTTCAAGGCTTTTTCTCGAGTTTCCCGACACATATGACTAATGCGACAATAGTGAGAAAAATCGTGCCTTGCGATGTTATCAAAATGTTTGCAAAACAAGAAAAACTTTAAAAATATTCACAACGAGATCCGCAGGATAAAGGATAATAGTTAGGAGGTAGGGTTGCCAACTGTACTATAACATATATAGTATAAACTGTTGAAGAAATATATATGTAATACGCAAAAATACTATATTTTGAATACCTAAATCTAACGAATTCTTCATTTTAAAAATTTATGAACGCGCCCTTATGATGAATGAAATTAATGGCAACAGTATAGTTCAAATCTGAAACCAAAAAGTAAAATTCCCCACAGAAAGTTATGAAATTCAAAAGAATTTTTTGCTATTTATTGATAAATATTTACACTTATCTTAATAAATGGTTTGATTTTAGTTAAAGCAATTGGCTATACAAAATCCAAAATTTAAATTTAAAACCAGTCAATGAACAATACTAGAAATTCTAAATTTACAAGAAAATTGAGTATGGAAATTACTCTGAAATAACAATTTTACATGTTTTGCAAAAGTAAAGGATTATAGTAAGTCTACTGACAAAACTACAAGCCAAAAATGGCAGTATATTTTAAAAAAGTATTAAAGATTAAAGTAATATCATTCTCGTCAATTTTCGACATTCACAGAAAGGATATTTTCGGTTATGAATTCGAAATTGTGAGTAATATCTCATTAATACAAAATGAGCTTTTAGTTTAAAAATTGAATTGTACACAAAAAAATGTTAAAAAATGCAAGAAATGCAAAGAAATATAGTTTTAATAAAAATAAATAAATAAAAGACATATCGTTGTCTTTTTTTTACTTTTTCCATAAAATACTATATTTTTTATAGCTAATTTTGGAAAATAGTACATTTCGTCGAAGAAAAGTTGACAACCTTGTTTGGGGGTGTAATTATAGAAAAAGAAGACATTGTGAAGGTAGATAAATTATTAAGATACCTCACAAAGAGAGAATAGTTTGAATAAACTTTAATTAAATTTAACATTGGTGCGTCACATGTGAAAATATACCATATACCCACACAAAGTACACCATGCGTCATTCTTTTGCATCTACGTGCATTCGTAAAAGAAAATAATAATTTACGTATTTTGAATAGCAATTTTGCAGTCCATAACATAAATTACATTAAACAAGCTACAAAATTCAATGAATTTTGTAAGCAATTACAATGAAATGACCTATTGTTCTCTTTATTTACAATTCTTATTGAAATCGAATCATAATGCCATTGACGTCATTACTGTTAACCATTAATTTATTTGAAATCAGGAAATGCTGCGAACTATACGGCAGAGCCAAGTAAAATACGTGACTGATTAAGAGGTCAACAAATCTGTTTTATTTTTCAATCTGATCGTAAATGTACGTTTATTTCACATTGATTCCAATCACAACTTCAGCTTATGTGCGGTTTCGTATGAAACGTTAAAGAACGCATACAAAACCTGTTTCTTTTAAAGGAAATTCAGGAAGTTAAAAATGCAAAAAAGAAAAACGTTTTGACAATTTTCCTTTGAAAAACTATTGCTCTTATTGTTAGAGCAACTAACATCTAACTAAATTAACAATACAAGCTGTAAAAGCAAAATGCAAGAGATATCTATAATAACCAGCAAACAGAACATAAAACGCGTTACAAATTGATGATTTGACGAATGAAAAATTATTGTGTGCTATAGTATCTACTTTATTTGAACGCATATCTTTATTACAAGTAGGTACTCGGTACTCATCGTTAGTCATTATAAAGATATCGCAAGTTAACTAGATACTGTTGTATGTTTTTCAACACATTAACTACAAATTAACAAATTAAAAACCCAACCGAATAACATTAACTCATTCTCAATCTTTTATTCGCAAGAATTTGAATTTTAATTAATCGTTAATCAAGTGAATACAAACTGCACATTAAATTTTGTTGATTATTTGTCAATCATCTGACTATCGGATTAAATCAATTGTATGATCGACGATCACATGATAAAGAAAACTTATAGGTACGTTTTGCTAAATGATTAAAAATTAAACAAATACCTTTAGTTTTTCCAGTAATTGCGAAAGTTTGCTTAATTGCCTGTTGGCTAAAAACTATTTCGTCTTTATTACCTGTAATAAGTAAATACGTTTAGAGCAATCTTAAAATACTTCAATTGCATCACGAATTTATTTTTAAACGAATTAATCGTTCAAAAACCATGAACAGGAATCATTTTAGAATCATGATGTGATTGTTTTAAACAAAAGCTTATTACGTAGTAAGGGAAGAAAGTACACCCTGGCAGAAGGCGAGGGGGTGCTGTATTTTACTCCCCAGGGGTGTACATAATTTTTATCACACTTCTTCCCCGAAAGTACGATTTTTCATAATTTATTACAGATTAGACGTTAATATAAATTCCCAGGAATAGTTTTATTTTTAACTATGAAAACATCATTGTGTTTCAAATATATCTATTATGTTTTCGTATTTTTTTTTTTTAATGGTAACACTCAAGTGATCGTGAAATCTAAAGCATGTACCACGTACAATATTAACAATCAATTTTCAGGCTCGATTTTTAGCTTTATACAAAATAAATTGTAGGAACTACATGGTGTTATTTTGTTTATTATCACACCATTTATAATCAATTAAGCTTTTCTCATTTTCCATAACCAGATTTCAGCACGGTACTTTATTTATGTCTTTCTTTTCCTTTAATTTATTGTATTTTTTATATTTTTACTTATAAATTAACTGGTAATTGAAGTATCAACGCAAATATATCGAAGAACTTTAAGATATGCAGGCCTTAATTAGTTGAAAATATGTTAAATGTTAACCCATTTATGCCTGTTTACAGTGACATTTAAAAATGACAAAAATGATCCCTGTTTTGCGGTTCAAACGAAATTTAATTGGCCAGACTAATAATAATTTTATATGACGTTATGTCAACGATCAGATATATAAATTAAAATGAATTAAAACTTACTTGAATATTTTACTTTATCAACAAATACATAACTGAAATAATTGGGATCGTAAACTTGCATCACTTACTACAATGGCAATAGATATTACTATGAATTTAGAACCGTCTACATTTAAAGACGTAATAACCTAGACTTTTCGACTTTTCAATGACATTTTAGATAAATGAACTCGATATTAAATGTAAAGTGTAATGAACATTGATAGGAGCGATTATACATTTTAATTTGAATCTTTAATAAAACTCCTGGCGATGGCACAACAGCCGAAACGCGCATATAGAATGAATAAATTCAAGAAGGCGAAAATGGTAAGTTCCTAGGAGGGGGACTGAAAAATTATTTTAGAGTAAAAATCGGCAGGTTGATGGTAAAATCCTTTCCTAATAAGGAAAGGAAATGTTGGGCTCTTGTTCCTAAAATCGGGAAATTCAGACTCGGAGGGGAATGCCGTAATTCTTCCCTTGGCGTGTAATCATAATATACCTATCATTAAAGGAAAACCGGTAATTTCTTCAACGATCAATCTAGGTAGGTATATTTCTGTTTCAAAAGGATCAAAATCACGATCTGTAGTAATATTAAAAAAAAAAAAACCGATAGACTGTTAAATAAAAATTAATAATTTGTTTACATGTATCGTTTTTTACAAGCTACATAGGCCCACATTACTCGATTGCATTTTCTATTGTTTTTGCTTTTTAATTTCATTCAGTAGGAGTACACTTCATCCTTCAAATTGACCTGCCAATAAAAATACGTCAACGGTAACTTTTTTGAAGCGCACAGGTATTACTGCTACACCTGATCAATAACACATTCGAAATTGTCATGGTTTTTGAATGAGATATTATTGTATCTAAAAAAGTATCCTTAAGTCTCCTAAAGTTGATATGCAGTTGATAGAAGGACGTGAATAATTTCATAATAAAGTTACTGTTTAATCGATTACCAATATCTTAATATGGTAGTCGCATATTAGATTTGAAAGATTTATGCTAATTTTCTTAAATTGTGAGATGCTAAATTATTCATAAAAAATTTATAGTTGACAATATACAAAATTAATTAAGGTAATCTGGTAAAATAAATAAAAAAACGCGTGAACTTTGCCATTTAATAAAAAATAAATTAATAATTATTGATAAACAAGGCTTAAATTTTGTATCTTTTAAATTCATCGTTCTACTGGCTTTTTAATCATAAGAAAATTAAGAAAATACAATAGAAAATAAGCGTCCCATTTCGCTTGTTTTTAAACTTTTTCCACAAAACTTTATCGCGTGTAAGATTTAAATTTTCTTAGTTTGTGTTAAAAACCATATTATTATTATCATATGAATTAATTAATTAAAGATTCAACAACAGGATGTTATCCATATTTACAAAAACAACAAAGCGTACATTTACCTGTTGTGTACCCATTTCTTTAGAAGCACCTAAATAAAATTCTTGTTCACGTAAGACAGCATCGTCAAAACACGATAATATTATTGGAAACATTAAATATGTTGTACTTACTTCTTTGTTTATTGGAATGGTTTCAGCATATACGATTTTCCGCAAAACATGCTAATTAACATTGTAATAAATAAACAATAATGAGAAAAAAGATAACAGTACGCAATTAAACAAAAGATTGTTAACATACAAACAATATACGTTCCGATCTCTATGACTAATTAGGTACTACAACTCTTTTTCTTTTTAAAGAAGAAATATTTTCGATTTCAAATTAATATTTAACGAGATGCCGTGCTTTATTAGAGGCAATGGCAAACATAATCAGTAAATGAGGAGAGACAGCCTTGGAAATACATATTACAGCACTAAAGATTATTGCTATGTATCTACATTCGAATGTTTCGTTTCGATATTGGGCAAAACTTCCTATCAACTGAAAAAAAATTGTAGAAGGATTCCTGATAAAAGATATGTCACTCTTCAAACAGCGATCACATTGGTGTTTAATTAAACATTTTTTTACGTTTTATGTGACAAAACGAATAAAATAATTCTAACTATTATTATAGAGTTTGTTACGCTTTCACGCCTTAACTACTTAACCGATGATCATGAAATTTTGTACACACATTGTCAGGGGTACGGGAAAGGACATAAGATACCTTTTATCCAGAAAAAAATACTGTTCCCGAGGGATAGAAAAAAAATAGTTTTATGTGGTTATCAGTGATCTTTGACAAGTATTTAGGACATCAACCCGAGCGAAGCCGCGAATGAAACCTAGTATGTACGACTTGGCAGGAATTAGTAGATTGTACGTCTGCTAAATGGAGACAAAATCGCGACAGTTAATAAGTGCACAGAGCATTCAACTACTCACAAGTATATTTACCCGACAAAACCAAAATAGCAAAGTTTGAGGAATAAAAGCAGCCAAAAACCCACTCGCCGCTATTTATTAAACGCAAAAAACACAAACAGGTGTAGATTTTTCTTATTACTACCTAGTAAAAGTTGCGATCACAATCGAATAACGTGCAGTAGTAAAAAAATCACATTATCGCACAGCACACCAAGGGCACTTTTAAATAAAATACACACAGATGAATAATCGAACAATTACGGTGGTGGCCTTTTCATTAATTCAAACATTAACAACACACAAGTGTGAATGTCTATAATAAGAGTCGTCACTTAAAATCCGGCACTTTCGAACGAAGGTTTGTGTGAAACTGCTCCGCTCGACATTCCGACTGTACGCCAGAGCCGAGTGGAAAGATAAGACCTCCAATAACACATACATAATGCATGTATATTACGAACCTTTGCTATTTACACATACGAACCAATAAAAATTTTTATGAAAGTACAATACTCGAATATAAACATATTAAAAGATAAACAAAGACAAACATTAAACAGAACAGAGCATTCGCAAAAATATACTAACCTATGTGCAAAGCCTGCGGTTTATCCTTTTATGACACATGCACAATATTAACACAAGAATTGTAATTATAATATTCCTATTTTGCAAAGAAATACAGGAGCACATTTATTAAGACCATTTTTACCTTTTTTAGATAGTACCGAGATCCATTTCTCTCATAAAGTAATAGTGTATTTATGCAACAAGGGTAGAAAGTACGAAATTCACCTTGGGTGTCAATTTCCACCCGAGCCGAAGACAAGGGTGACAAACTCCCGGCAAGAAGGGCGTACTTTCTTCTCTAGGCCCGTGGTAATTTTCACCCGGGATGGAATGTTGACTTTTGTCGCTAAAGAATTTTCAGTTACATTTACATTTATTAAGAAGAAATCAAATGAAAATCGCTGTAACCAAGTCATCATCATGAGGTCGTCAGCCCTAAGACTGGTTGGACACATACCTCCATCCACTCTTTCCTATCCTGAGCTAAACTTCGCATTTCCCTAAAACTAGAACAGCCCACATCCTTGACTATTTGCGAAGAGTAATCTAATCTAGGTCTACCTCTACCCCTCCTAACTCCTGTTTCTGCCTCTAATATGTCTCTGACTAGACCTTCATGCCTGAGAAGGTGTCCTTATAAACTTCCATAGAGTCCTCTGTTCTCCTATTCTTTCCAATACCTCTTCATTTCTAACCTTTTCTACCCACGATATCCACATCATCCGCCTGTAACACCACATTTCGAACGCTTCTAACCCTTTCTTTTCCGCCGCGCCCACTGTTACATGTTTCGCACCCGTACAATATCGTGCTCCAAACATACACCTTTAACAACCTTTTTCGAATTTCTAAATTAACCGTTCGCGAGCATAGAAGTGACTTCCTTTTATTGAACTCCTTCCATCCTGACTTATCTGACTTCCTAGGTATCTAGAATCAGCCACTTCTTCTAATTTTTCGTCTCCTGTCTTTATATTCGCTCTTTCCCTACTTCTTATTCCCTTGCATACCAGTATTTTAGTTTTACTGTCAGTACCGCTTCCATTTTATTTAAAGCTATCTCTAGGTCCTTACTAGATGGTAATACTGCTATATGTAACCAAGTGTAAAAAGAAAAAGTACCTTTATAGGTAATTCATTTTTTATATACTTTTTCGTACTTTTGATTTGCACTTTAAGCTTTATTGAATTTGACAAAGTAGTAAAAGCTTTCGCGACCACTTGATGAACTGGTGCTGTCTTGATTCGGGTTTAAAGGTCCACATCCAGCATCAGAGATGGAAGAAGACCTCTAAAGAAGGTCGCTACTCGTGATAGCGAAACGTTAGGAAGCAAATTCCACCGATGATAACCTTTAGACCTGAATAATGACAGCACCAGTTTATTGAATTTGTTTTACTTTTCGTACATTGTGTTTGTTAATAAATCTTGAGTTGAGGGCTTTAAATAGTAACTAAATAATTATACATTTTCCTTTGATAAAAAGGGAAGACCCGATTTCTCAAAATATGCAGCTACTAACAACTGGGGGTACACAAATAAGTACTCAAATATTAGTCTGAATTCTGAATAACCACCACGTTAATTTGTTCATTTTTTCAAATTGTACGTAAGCAGATGGTTATGGTACTTTACTCAAGAATAAATACCTAAATACGTGTTTTGGTAAATAAAATCAGTATGTTAACAAGTTTATGTGTATTAATAATTATTGCCTGTACCACGAACAGTCACGAGACGGTAATGATTAAGCAAGTGATATTTTGTTAAAGATAAGATGACACAGTTTTTAACACATTTCTTAAATCAACAGTAGTAATATCAAAAATAAATAATAATAATCAATTAAGTTGTCAAAGTACATATTATTGAAGAACCGAGGGATATTTAACATGGGTACTTTATATACATTTAATGTCAAAATCAATTTGCAAAATTAAAGGGGCATTTAGATATTTAATTTAAGTAGATGTAAAACTAAAAATATTTGGACGATTTTCACAGTTTCCTTATTAACCCTGATCGTAAATGTAGTACATTATTTCGCCTTATTAGGCCTTCTTCAGGGGTGTATTCTACTAATTGTTTATGTTTTACCGATTTTTTCTTAAGTAGAACATCTCGTAATGTTTATAGTTACGAGTTTTAATAAAAATCTGTGAAATTAGCCAAGTGTCTATAGTTATATATGCTATACAAATACCTATTTTTTCAATGTCATTTAATTTATAACATTTAATAGCAAATCGGAAGTACTTACGAGGGTGGATTGATAAGTTTCCGGCCTAACCAAGAGATGACGCCACTAGGCCTACCTTGAGGTGACATTCTATAGTACCATCCTTGGATAGCTTGTAGCTATAGTTTCAGCCCGATCTCCTTGCTAGTGTAGGTTTGACAGCACGCTGAACAAGACGCCTCTGTGGTTTTCGTAAAAATGGAAAAGCAGGAAAATCGTGCTGTCATCAAATACTTTTATTTGAAGGGGTTAACGCCGAAGGAAATTAAAAAAGAGATGGACTCAACACTGGGGACATCCTCCCCGTCATATTCAACCGTTAAGCAGTGGGTTTCCGAGTTTAAAAAGGGTCGTGTGAGCACCTCTGATGGGCCTCGCTCAGGACGCCCCGTTGAGGTCACAACTCCAGATATGATCGAAAAAATTCATCAAATAGTGCTGGGAGACCGCAGATTGAAAGTGCGTGAGATAGCTGAGACCTGTAAGATGTCATATGAACGTGTGCAACATATTTTGCACCAACATTTGCATATGGAAAAGCTCTGTGCAAGATGGGTGCCGCGTTTGCTAACAGTCGACCAAAAATTGATTCGAAAAAACATTTCTACCGCAAATTTGTCATTGTATAAGCGTAATCCAAGCGAATTTTTGCGTCGATTCGTAACCGTTGACGAAACGTGGGTCCACCACTACACTCCTGAAACCAAAGAACAGTCTAAACAGTGGATTGGACCAGGGGAACCAACTCCAAAGAAGGCAAAAACAATTTTTTCGGCGAACAAGGTTATGGCTACTGTTTTTTGGGATGCAAGAGGTATTATATACATTGATTACCTTGCAAAGGGTAATACTATCACTGGTCAATACTACGCAGACTTATTGCAACGTTT